AAAGTAAGCAAATGCTAAGCCTTGGAAACTGTAGTCCTCATGGTAGATGAATCAGTTGGCGGTGTGTTCACTGTTATTGCATTTAGTAAGCATGATTAGATCTTTAGATGCAATAACCCTTCAACTTAGGTTCATTTTTCTGATGAAGAAAAGGTTTAATATTTTCTTAAATGTATTTGAAACTTTATTTCTGTCTTCATTACAACCTTTTAGTAATAAAGAGGCTTATCTCAGTCCAGATAGGAGTTAACAGGTCATCCTCTTCTGCTATTTAATTGAGAAAACTTAGCAATGTAGTTAAATTTTATGTTGTGATTATTTAATATAAATGTTTAGATTATTACAAGCATTTTTCTGGTGAAAATTATTTAAGGAAAGGAAAAGAATTGTGTCGTTGACATGGACATTCATGTAACTTTTTCAACCCATACCAGCATTTTATTTGATTTTCAGCTTCTTTTAAAATACAGTTTTACATAATTTGAAATTTTTAGATTACCTATCTTATGGTTACATTTTTTCAATTCTATATTTGATTAAGTTTTCAGATTGTGTGTATTAGACTGAATCTACTCTAAATTTACAGTCAACTTTGAGAAAGACATCAATAGCCTTTACAGACTTTCAGAGTGGGTAACAAATTTAAGCACTTAAATAAAAGTTGAAATTCACTGCAACATGATCCATATTCTTGTGGAATGGGAAAGACAGAGAGCCACGTAATCTTAAAAGTATTAAATAATTAAAAACAGAATGTTAAGAAGCATAAGTGTTGTTTTCTTGCTATAAGCCAAACCACAGTTCAAGAAGTGTAATGCTTTTATCATCCTATGATGAAGGTTCTGTTATTATTTCCATTTTATAAGTTAAGAAGCTGAAAGATTATGTAATTTGCCTAATTTTTCACGTTAGGAATCTACTGCTGTGTAACAAATTACCCCAATTTAGTGGCTTAAGATAATATGCATCTAACAGTTTCCCATTTCTGTAGACCTGGAATGCACGTGTGGCACAGCTGAGACCTCTGGTTCATGGTCTTCCTAACGCTGCAGCTGGGACAGTCACTTCAAAGCTTAGCTATGGGAGGGTCTACTCCCAAGCTTACTCCTGCGATGGTTGATAAGCTTTATTTTCTCTGACTGTTGACTGGAGACCACCCCCAGTTTCTTCCCATGGGAGCCTCTCCGCAGAGAAGCTCAGGACATGGCAGCTGGAATTCCCCAGAATTTGGACTGAGGGGGAGGGAGAGAGGGAAGGAGAAAAAGGCATGATCTTTTCAGCCATAGACATTATATTCAGCCATAAACATTAAAGTCCATTTGCACAAAAACAAAGGATATATTATTTTATGTTTAGAAAATATTAGAAGGCCATCATCCTTCAGAAGGTGTTTACTTTTTTACGATTTAAATTACTTAATAGATATAGGACTGCTGAGGTTATCTATTTTTCTCAATTAATCTTTGCTAGTTTTTAAAAGAATTTATCTCTTTAATACAAGTTGTCAAATTTATTGGCACAAAGTTATTCTTAATATTTTTCTATTATCCTTTTAATGTAAGTAAGAGCTGTAGTAATGTCATCTTTTATAGTAGCTTATGTATGTCTCCTCTCTCTTTTTCTTGATCAATCCAGCTAGAGGTCTATTTATTATAAGGTTCTTTTCAAAGAACCAGCTTTTGGTCTTACTGAGTTTCTCTGTTGTTCATCTGTTTTGTATTTCGGTAATTTCAATTTTTCCCTTTATTGTTACCTTCCTTCTCTACACTTCAGATTGTATTTCCCCTTTTAGTAATAGCTCCTTGAGATGGACTTAAAGATAACTGACACGATTTGTGTTTTCTAGTGCTGGCATTTAATGGTACAGACTTCTGCCTAAGCATTTCCTTTAGCTGCATATCACAAATTTAATATGCTACTCTTTCAATTTTATTCAACTCAAAATATTTGTTTCTAATATCTTTGGTGATTTCCTCTTTACCTATAAGTTACTCAAATGCGTATTGTTCAATTTTCAAATATTTGGATTTTTTTCAGATATATTCTGATTATTGATTTCAATTTTAATTTTGCTGTGGAAATAGAACCTACTTTGTAATTTTTCTTCATGTTGCATTTGTTAAAATTTGCATTATGACCCACAATCACAATGTTGTCTCTTTTAATGACTGTCTTAGAATGTTTAGGCTGTTATATAACAAATTACTGTAGACTTATTGACTTACACAACAATTTATTTCTCCTAGTTTTGGAGGCTGAAGGTGTGAGATTAGGGTGCCAGTGTGGCCAGGTTCTGGTGAGAGCCCTCTTTCAGGTTACAGACTATAGTTTTCTCTTTGAATCCTCACGTGGTGGAATGGGAATGAGTATTCCTTTCATAAGGGCACTAATTCCAATCATGAGGCCCCACCCTCATAGACTTCATCTCTTAATGCCATTCCATTGGACATTAAGATTTCAACATACAAATTTGGGGGATTCATAAACACTCGATCCACTGTAATGATTGTTTCCTGGGCACTCAAATCTAACATGTACTCTGCTATTACTGGATGTAAAATTCTATAAATATCAACTAAGTCAAATTGATAGTAGTATTAAAGCCCTCTATGTTTTAATTATTTTTTCTTCTGCTTTTTCTATTCTCCTGAGACTATAATTACTAAATGTTAGAATATTTAATATTGTTCCAAAGCTCTAGGATAATCTATTCTGTATCTTTTCCACTTTTGCTTCTTTCATTTCAAGTTGGATAATATCTATTGATCCAATCGTTTTTCTCTGCTGTGTTCAGTCTCTGATAAGCCGCTTTAGAAATTATTTATATCTAATAATGTGTTTGTTGTTTCTGTCATTTTATTTGCCCGTCTCTTTCTTATAGCTTTAATATTTCATTTGAGTTTCTCTGTCTGTTCATGCATACTTACACTTTGTGTAAAATCTCTGTCCAATTGTTTCAGCTTCTCTTGATATGGTCCTGTTGACTGTTTTTCGGACAGTTTTCCTTTTATTGCTTTTTTGGTGTGTGTCTCATAACTTCTTATTGAGTTCTAGCCATTGTATTTAAAAAGAAAAGTAGAGGCTGAGATAATCTATAGTTATTACCAGTTCTTCTTGTCTGATTTTATGCACATAAGCTCTTCCTTCCTTACTGCGCCAAAGGTGAATTTGTTTGTGTAGCCCATAGCTCTTCAGGACTTTTAATTATTTGCATCTAAGTTTACCTATTTGCTTATGACTTTAATATTCTGATTTGTTCAAATGAAAGTAGATTTTGTAGATTAATGTTCTTTTTCTGTTGTTAGAATAGAAGTAAAATTCTTTTGTGCTTTCTACATTCTTATCAAAAGCAGAATTTGTTTTTCAAAAAATTCAAGCTGTTGGGCAGGTGAGGTGGCTCAGGCCTGTAATCACAGCACTTTAGGAGGCTGAGGCGGGGGGATCACCTGAGGTCAGAAGTTCGAGACCAACTGGTCAACATGGCAAAATCCCATCTCTACTAAAAATACAAAATTAACTAAGTGTGGTGGCGGGCACCTGTAATCCCAGCTACTCGGGAGGGTAAGGCAGGAGCATTGTTTGAACCCAGGTGGCAGAGGTTGCAGTGAGCTGCAATCCAGCCTGGGTGACAGAGTGAGACTCCGTATCAAAAAAAAAAAAAAAATCAGGCTATAATATGTCCCCTCTAGTAGTTCTATTGCAATGGGAACCACCTGTTGTAGGGATTATACTTGATCTCTTTATTCAGTGTGAAAGGTTCCCTTAGATACATTATCAGTTTCTCTCGTCTCTTTGATGGGGCTAGAGGCCAGCTGCTGAGAAATCTAAATCAGAAACATGGGAAAAGAAGGAAGTACCACAGTCTTTGCAATTGTGAGCTCTAGTGAGACCAAGAGGCAAGCTGTCATTAGGGTGTGGAGACAGTGGGAGGAAGTGTCTCCCCTTCTCCTGTCCTCAGATGCAAAGTCTAAAGTTTCCTGCCCGAGGCCTGTGGAGACGGCCGGCGTGTTCAGCTCCCATGCAGGCTCATGGACCAGGAAGCTAGCAACTTCTCCCTAGGGCACATCCTTGGTCCAAACTCTGAGCTTCCTCCAGGAAGTCCCCAGACCCTTAGGCCAGAGAAGAAAAATGCCCTGGGAGAATCTTTCAAGGCCTGAATCACATTTTCCTAGCCCACCCAACTCCCCCAGGCCAGAAGCAGGCAGCATGGCAAGTTCATCCAAATCACCATCTTCCCAGAACTCTTCTAGGACCTTAATAGTCTGTTTCATTATTTCTAAAATCCTTTTTTTTTTAACACAGTTGTGTATCAATCCTTCCTATGAATCACATCGCATTCATGATAATAGTATATTATATCCATGCCATTCCCTCCTTGCATATAAGCACTCTGACGAGAGTGGTGTTTTAATTTTGTGCTGTCTTTCTGCAATAATCTGGGGTACTTATTTAAATAACATTAAATGATATGAACAGTGTATTGTGTTTCTAGACTGGAATATAACCACACTTAGAGAGAAACCTGCAATATTCCTATTCTCTTTGTAGCATCAGACATGTGCAGTGAGCAAAGACTTCAAATGCCATGTCCCTGGAGCACTCCTTGTTTACATTCATATTAAGTCCCTGGGAACATGAGGAATTTATTTAGCACCGTGAGAGTTGTCTGCTTCTGTGGTTGTTCTACTGTGATTTCTCTGAATAATTTATCAGCTACTTAACACTCATCAAATTTGGCTTTTTATGTAGAAACTATCTGTAAGCTCTGTTAGTTTTTATCTCAGAGTCTGAAATACTGTCATTTTAAATAAATGCTTTCCCTCTAAAAAAGAATTTTAATGTTGAAGGAAAGAAAGAAAAGCCTGGCATATCCTGTGACTGCCTTATGTGGTCAGTGTGAAGTGTCTGGTGCTTCTCTTTCTGAGTCTGGGTGTCCTTGAACTCATTGTCTTCCCATACTTACTCAGGTTCACATCATTGCTCCTCTTTATCTGTCTCAGGTGCTGGGGTTCCGCAGTTCCAGCCAATTGCCCTAAATGGTCGAATCCAAGTTCTCAGCAATGGGTCGTTGCTGATCAAGCATGTTGTGGAAGAAGACAGTGGCTACTACCTCTGCAAGGTCAGCAACGATGTGGGCGCAGACGTCAGCAAGTCCATGTACCTCACAGTTAAAAGTAAGAGAGAAGAAATGCTTCATTTTACCTGGTTTAAATACATAGGTCCTTGGGGGCTTCCATTTTCAACTGTCTCCATACATACCTGTTTAAAATCAAAACAAAAGAGGACCGTTGGTGTGATACAGCTGGGTTTAACATTTTGCTGTTATGGTAACATGGTTGAAGAGGATGATAGAAGTCCAGCCAATTGTTGACAGCATGCCCAGGGCCCCTTGTGCTGGGAGCATGAGCCACATTCTTCTCTCCACATCCTTCTCTCACACCCATTGGTATGGGCTCTGGGCAACCTAGCAGATGAGTAGGTGTCTGCCTTTAGCACCCACCTTGCCACCCTGTTGATTTTCCTGTGGAAAACCCCAATACCTGGTCTCAGATGTGTTCTTTACAAAGCCTTTGGTCACACATTTTATAATTTGCAAGCTGGCTTGTCCGTGGATTTCCTTTTAAAAATCATTATCAGATCAAGTGGCTAGAAACGTCATTACCAAAAGCAAACAACTACAAGGCAGAAATGTGTTGCGCTAGGCTTAATGTTGGCGCTGCTGGCCCCATTTATAGGAAAAGGTGCCTTATGATGGAATTATTGTCATACAATTGGCAACTGGCAACCAAGGAAAGGATGTAAAGCGAGCCAACTCCTACTGAGTAGTGCTTATTAATGAATTACGGTGCATCTAGTTTACAGTGAATGGCTTATGCCCATTTGTACGATTTTCTGTTGCATGAATTGTGATTCCTTCTTGATTACAAGGCTTTATTCAGACTCCCCCTCACTTTTCTTTTTCACATAAGGAAGCATTTATTTGAAGTTTAACATGAAATCATAGAAGTAACATACATATAAACAAATCCACATGAGTCATAACACAGATAGCAAAGGACAAAGTAAAAATGAAGAAAACTAATTGGCTGCTATATATAGTTGGACACAATTGTGTCTTGTACACTAGGAAGTCTTTCACAAAATAATCATCTTAGATCAACAGAAGACCAGTCTTCAATGTCGTCCTGCAAGATGGAGGACTGTAACATCACCTCCTCTTTTCTCCAACGTTCTCCTTTAGTATGGCTGGTAATTGTTTTGGGGATTGCCACCCCCTCGAGGTGCCTTGCCGTAAGTGCTCTGTTGGCCACTGTATCCCTGTCCGTATCCATAGTTCCCGTGGTTAAGCTCAGTGTAATCATATCCACCATATCCATAGTTCCCATGGTTAAGCTCAGTGTAATCATATCCACCATATCCATAGTTCCCATGGTTAAGCTCAGTGTAATCATATCCACCATAACCATAGTTCCCATGGTTAAGCTCAGTGTAATCATATCCACCACAGCCGTAGTTCCCATGGTTAAGCTCAGAGTAGTCATATCCACCACAGCCACTATAGTTTTGATCTCCACCATAGGCACTATTGCATTTTCCGTATCCTTGATCATGGTGGTTATTAAATACCTGGTTTGGTGACCTCGGCCACCACCCCTCTTCCCACCTCGTCCACCAGCTGCAGCACCACCTCCACCTTTGTGTTGTCACTGTTGCTACCTATGGCCTTTTTGGGCTGTGCAACTTTGATTTCACACTTCCCAGAACCAATTTGATGGTATCTGCTTTCTGACAATTTTTTTACTGGCTCTTCATAGGTATATGTGGTAAAACAAAATCCTCTTCTTTCATTTGTTTTTGTATCCATGGGAAGTTCAATGTTTTTGATCTCTCCAAAGGCTCTAAAGTATTCTTTAATTTGCTCTTCAGAAGTCTCCTGGCTCAATCCACCCACAAAAAACCTTTTTGGGGGGTTCTTTCCCTTTTAACGCTTTGGGCCTTTGGGGATCTATCAGTTTGCCATCCAGTTTGTGTTCTTTCAGTTCCAAAACCTTATCAACACTAGCAGCGTCTTTGAAAAGCACAATGTCAAATCCTTCACTTTTTTTTTTTTTTTTTTTTTTGAGGCAGAGGCTCACTCTGTTGCCCAGGTTGGAGTGCAGTCATGCCTTCAAAGCTTGCTGCACCCTCGAACTCTGAGCTCAAGGGATTCTCCCACCTCCACTTCTTAGTAGCTAAGACTACCAGTGTCTGCCACTGAGCCCAACTCTTTTTTTTTTTTCGTAAACATGAGGGTCTCATTTTATTGCCCAGTCTGGTCTCAACCTCCATTCCTCAAGTGATTAGCCGCTCTTGACCTCCCAAAGCACTGGGATTACAGGCATGAGCCACCATGCCTGGCCCTTGAATTTCATCTTTTTTCTTTTTTAACTTTAATTCTGCTAAGGATAGTTTGGGAAAATGTCTACCGTAAGATTTATTAGAAGGACGGGATTTAAAAGTAACATTCACTGGGCTGTATATATTTGTGTGTGTATGATACTGAAAGCCTAGCTAAACAGATGAATATCCATTGCAACTCACTAAGAGTTTATTTCAGTTATTCCACTATTTCCAACAGAGTAACAAAACATCTCAGTGTTTATTTATTAAACTTTTATACTGTGAAATGGGGGACTATGATTCTGAAATGGGGTTGTTTTGAAATATATTTGGTATATACTCAATACCAAGTTTTCAACTTTTAAATCCTACACTCTGGAGGAACTGGTTTACAAGAATTTGATAACAAATTGTGATATCCTTTTAATCCAGAGCTGAAATGGTAATTTTTAAAAGTTATAAATTGATGAAATAGTATGGAAACCCAAAATCTGAGGAGCAGTATTGACCAGAGTTGTTCCATCTCTCCCCGAAGGAAAAGGTGTATTTTGCAGTTATTTTAACAGGTTTTAAATGTATAAGACAATTTTCTAGTCCATAAACACATATCTTGGATCTAATATATATGAGGCCCTATGGAGGCTGGAAGTATAATCAACCATGGATCTTACCCTCATGAATGGCAGTCCTCATGTTTTGGAAGGGGAGATAAAAGGAAAAAGATAGAGGCCACTGATTATAATGCAGGGTGAAGAGTCACATGGATCATATCTGTGACTTTCAGAAGAGGATGGACATGTTGGCTTGAGGGAATTGAGGAAAGCTTCATGGAAAATAGGCTTAAAGAGTAGAAGACACCCCCATGTGTCCTCTCTCCAGATCTCTGTACTCTGTGGTAATCGTGCAGCATCAGGAAGGACTAAGGGGATGAGCTGGCCCCTGCCCTCTGGGAGGTTTTTCTCTCTGGGGATAATTGGGTGTGTATATCTAACTCCTGTCTGGCAGAATACACAACTGGTGGAAGAGACCCCAGAACACCAGGGTGCACAGAAGAGGGTGTGATTTGCTTGTTTGTAGAATCAGTGACCATGTGCAAGGAACAGAATGCCTGTGTCCCTTCAAAGTCCATATGTTGAAATCTGACCCGCAATGTGATGATATTAGAAGCTGAGGCCTTTGAGAAGTGATTGTGTCACAAGCAAGGAGCTCTCAGGGATGGAATTAGTGTCCTTATAGAAGGGACTCTAAAGAGAGAGCTCTCCTGCTCTCTCTCTCTGCCTCATGAGTATACACAAGCAGGTGGCAACCTGGAAGAGGATACTAGAACCTGCCCCTGTTGGCAGCCCAATCTTGGACTTCCAGCCTTAGAACAGTGAGAAATACGTTCCCATTGTTGATAAGACCCAGTTCGTGTGGCACTTTGTTACAGAAGCTCCAGTTGACTAAGAAACTACAGAATGAAAAGATCCAGCATCTGAGTTCAGTCTTAAAGACACACAAGCCTTCAAAGGGCAGGACTGCTGAGGCTAGAGAGGGTGTTCCAGGGAGAGGAGGCACAGAAAGCAGACACAAGAAACTGAAAGACTCCAGGCAAGAGTAACTCTCCGTTTGGATGTTCTGACATACATGGAGGAGATGGGAGAGAACATTTAAAGTGAGCACACTTGGAGGAGAGATGACGGAGTTGGCCAAATTTAGATTCTTAAGCTAATAGAAACTAGCCATGGAGAGGTGGATTTAAATAAGTTAAATGCACCTCTCCGTGGCTGTTTGTCTGAGCCTATGCAATATAAGAACTATGCCATCTTCACAGAGTTAGCATGAAAATTAAACAAGATAACGCATGTGAAAACGTTGTAAGATATAAGATACTTTAAATAAGTGTTCTAATACATACATAGAGTAAGTGATTCTTTGGATGGAAAGAAAGAGAAGACATATGTTGATGGTGCTGTGCATAGGCGCATTTCCAGAAAGTGATTCTGGAAAAAAAAACAAAGTTGAAAGGCCACAGCCTGGGAAACAGGAAGAAAATACAAGGACATCCATGGCCCATGGGAAGGTATTTTCAACCTTGTGTAGTACTCACCCAAAGCTCAGCCCTGGAGTAGTGTAGTGTCTTTAGAAACTCTAATGGCCAATGTCTTTTTCCTAACCCTGGTTGTTTAAGAAAAGTCAGTAAAATGTTTGAGGATCTCAAACTGAAAAAAATAGATATAAAGGAGAGTTTAGTGGTCTAAATAAACACATTAAGTACTCTTGCCTTTCTATAAGTCATTTAAAAAAATGGGCTGTAAATATTTCTTTTTTTATTTTTTATTTTTATTTTTATTTTTTTGGCTGCAAATATTTCTAAATTCAATAGGGGCGGCCTTGTTGTCTAATCAGATGACGTCAGGAAATTCAGACAGCTGCTCCTGCAGGAAGTCTGGACTCCCAGGGCGGCTGGTGCTGGCTGCAAAAGTAACTAAAAGACCCGAACTCTCCTGACGGGACCTGCTTCTCAGGGCTCGCTGTGGGATCCTGGGAACCTGTATGGATGAGTCTCCTATATGGGAAGTTTTCTTACTGTCTTTAGGAAACATCACTCCAAAAATAAAGCCTTTTAACAATAAACACTCACCACACATGCACACATAAACACACACACACACGCACATTTCTTTTTGCTGTTATTGTTGAATCAAGCATAAGGAGGCCACAAGCAAAGAGGAAAGCAGGCATGCATGTATGGAATTGACATGGAAAGCAATCCATGGGATAGAAGGTTACTGCATGAGAATCTTTCCAGCTC